TACACCCTGAGTATATACACCATGTTCCTCAATACACCCTGAATGTATACACGTTCCTCCATACACCCTGAATGTATACACTGTTCCTCCATACACCCTGAATGTATACACTATGTTCTTCCATACACCCTGAATGTACACACCATGTTCCTCCATACACCCTGCATCATGGTACTTTACTCTTCATGAAAGCGTGATGGTGACGTACCTGCATCACGGTACTTTACTCTTCATGAAAGCGTGATGGTGACGTACCTGCATCACGGTACTTTACTCTACATGAAAGTGTGATGGTGACGTACCAGCATCACGGTACTTTACTCTACATGAAAGCATGATGGTGACGTACCTGCATCACGGTACTTTACTCTTCATGAAAGCGTGATGGTGACGTACCTGCATCACGGTACTTTACTCTTCATGAAAGCGTGATGGTGACGTACCTGCATCACGGTACTTTACTCTACATGAAAGCGTGATGGTGACGTACCTGCTTCATGGTACTTTACTCTTCATGAAAGCATGATGGTGACGTACCTGCTTCATGGTACTTTTACTCTACATGAAAGCGTGATGGTGACATACCTGCTTCATGGTACTTTACTCTTCTTGAACATGATGAAAGCGTGATGGAGACATACCAGCATCACGGTAATTTACTCTACATGAAAGCGTGATGGTGACGTACCTGCTTCATGGTATTATCCTCTACATGAAAGCGTGATGGTGACGTACCTGCATCACGGTACTTTACTCTTCATGAAAGCGTGATGGTGACGTACCTGCATCACGGTACTTTACTCTTCATGAAAGCATGATGGTGACGTACCTGCATCACGGTACTTTACTCTTCATGAAAGCATGATGGTGACGTACCTGCATCACGGTACTTTACTCTACATGAAAGCGTGATGGTGACGTACCTGCATCACGGTACTTTACTCTTCATGAAAGCGTGATGGTGACGTACCTGCATCACGGTACTTTACTCTACATGAAAGTGTGATGGTGACGTACCAGCATCACGGTACTTTACTCTTCATGAAAGCATGATGGTGACGTACCTGCATCACGGTACTTTACTCTACATGAAAGCGTGATGGTGACGTACCTGCATCACGGTACTTTACTCTTCATGAAAGCGTGATGGTGACGTACCTGCATGACGGTACTTTACTCTACATGAAAGTGTGATGGTGACGTACCTGCATCACGGTACTTTACTCTTCATGAAAGCATGATGGTGACGTACCCGCATCATGGTACTTTACTCTACATGAAAGCATGATGGCAACGTACCTGCATCACCGCACTTTACTCTTCATGAAAGCGTCATGGTGACATACCTGCTTCATGATACTATCCTCTACATGAAAGCGTGATGGTGACGTACCAGCATCACGGTACCTTACTCTTCATGAAAGCGTGATGGTGACGTACCAGCATCACGGTACTTTACTCTTCTTGAAAGCGTGATGGTGACGTACCAGCATCACGGTACTTTACTCTTCTTGAAAGCGTGATGGTGACGTGCCTGAATCACAGTACTTTACTCTTCATGAAAGCGTGATGGTGACGTACCTGCATCACGGTACTTTACTCTTCATCAAAGCGTGAAGGTGACGTACCTGCTTCCGGTACTTTACTCTTCATGAAAGCGTGATGGTGACGTACCTGAATCACAGTACTTTACTCTTCATGAAAGCGTGAAGGTGATGTACCTGCGTCACTGTACTTTACTCTACATGAAAGCGTCATGGTGACATACCTGCTTCATGATACTATCCTCTACATGAAAGCGTGATGGTGACGTACCAGCATCACGGTACTTTACTCTTCATGAAAGCGTGATGGTGACGTACCAGCATCATGGTACTTTACTCTTCTTTAAAGCGTGATGGTGACGTACCTGCATCACGGTACTTTACTCTTCATGAAAGCATGATGGTGACGTACCTGCATCACGGTACTTTACTCTTCATGAAAGCATGATGGTGACGTACCTGCATCACGGTACTTTACTCTACATGAAAGCGTGATGGTGACGTACCTGCATCACGGTACTTTACTCTTCATGAAAGCGTGATGGTGACGTACCTGCATCACGGTACTTTACTCTACATGAAAGTGTGATGGTGACGTACCAGCATCACGGTACTTTACTCTTCATGAAAGCATGATGGTGACGTACCTGCATCACGGTACTTTACTCTACATGAAAGCGTGATGGTGACGTACCTGCATCACGGTACTTTACTCTTCATGAAAGCGTGATGGTGACGTACCTGCATGACGGTACTTTACTCTACATGAAAGTGTGATGGTGACGTACCTGCATCACGGTACTTTACTCTTCATGAAAGCATGATGGTGACGTACCCGCATCATGGTACTTTACTCTACATGAAAGCATGATGGCAACGTACCTGCATCACCGCACTTTACTCTTCATGAAAGCGTCATGGTGACATACCTGCTTCATGATACTATCCTCTACATGAAAGCGTGATGGTGACGTACCAGCATCACGGTACCTTACTCTTCATGAAAGCGTGATGGTGACGTACCAGCATCACGGTACTTTACTCTTCTTGAAAGCGTGATGGTGACGTACCAGCATCACGGTACTTTACTCTTCTTGAAAGCGTGATGGTGACGTGCCTGAATCACAGTACTTTACTCTTCATGAAAGCGTGATGGTGACGTACCTGCATCACGGTACTTTACTCTTCATCAAAGCGTGAAGGTGACGTACCTGCTTCCGGTACTTTACTCTTCATGAAAGCGTGATGGTGACGTACCTGAATCACAGTACTTTACTCTTCATGAAAGCGTGAAGGTGATGTACCTGCGTCACTGTACTTTACTCTACATGAAAGCGTCATGGTGACATACCTGCTTCATGATACTATCCTCTACATGAAAGCGTGATGGTGACGTACCAGCATCACGGTACTTTACTCTTCATGAAAGCGTGATGGTGACGTACCAGCATCATGGTACTTTACTCTTCTTTAAAGCGTGATGGTGACGTACCAGCATCACGGTACTTTACTCTTCTTGAAAGCGTGATGGTGACGTGCCTGAATCACGGTACTTTACTCTTCATGAAAGCCTGAAGGTGACGTACCTGCGTCACGGTACTTTACTCTACATGAAAGCGTCATGGTGACATACCTGCTTCATGATACTATCCTCTACATGAAAGCATCATGGTGACGTACCAGCATCACGGTACTTTACTCTTCATGAAAGCGTCATGGTGATGTACCAGCATCACGGTACTTTACTCTTCTTGAAAGCGTGATGGTGACGTACCAGCATCACGGTACTTTACTCTTCTTGAAAGTGTGATGGTGACGTGCCTGAATCACAGTACTTTACTCTTCATGAAAGCGTGAAGGTGACGTACCTGCATCACAGTACTTTACTCTTCATCAAAGCGTGAAGGTGACGTACCTGCATCACGGTACTTTACTCTTCATCAAAGCGTGATGGTGACGTACCTGCATCACGGTACTTTACTCTACATGAAAGCGTGATGGTGACATACCTGCTTCATGATACTTTACTCTACATAAAAGCGTGATGGTGACATACCTGCTTCACGGTACTATCCTCTACATGAAAGCGTGATGGTGACGTACCTGCATCACGGTACTTTACTCTTCATGAAAGCATGATGGTGACGTACCTGCATCACGGTACTTTACTCTACATGAAAGCGTGATGGTGACATACCTGCTTCATGGTACAATCCTCTACATGAAAGCGTGATGGTGACGTACCTGCATCACAGTACTTTACTCTTCATGAAAGCGTGATGGTGACGTACCTGCATCACGGTACTTTACTCTACATGAAAGCATGATGGTGACGTACCTGCATCACGGTACTTTACTCTTCATGAAAGCATGATGGTGACGTACCTGCATCACGGTACTTTACTCTACATGAAAGCATGATGGTGACATACCCGCATCATGGTACTTTAATCTACATGAAAGCGTGATGGCAACGTACCTGCATCACCGTACTTTACTCTTCATGAAAGCATGATGGTGATGTACCAGCATCACGGTACTTTACTCCACATGAAAGCGTGAAGGTGACATACCAGGATCATTGTACTTTACTCTACATGGAAGCGTGATGGTGACGTACCAGGATCACGGTACTTTACTCTTCATCAAAGCGTGATGGTGACGTACCAGGATCCCGGTACTTTACTCTACATGAAAGCGTGATGGTGACGTACCTGCGTCACGGTTCTTTTCTCTTCATGAAAGCGTGATGGTGACGTACCCGCATCATGGTACTTTAATCTACATGAAAGCGTGATGGCAACGTACCTGCATCACAGTACTTTACTCTTCATGAAAGTGTGATGGTGACGTACCTGCATCACGGTACTTTACTCTTCATGAAAGCATGATGGTGACATACCTGCATCACGGTACTTTACTCTTCATGAAAGCATGAAGGTAACGTACCTGCATCACGGTACTTTACTCTTCATGAAAGCATGATGGTGATGTACCAGCATCACTGTACTTTCCTCTACATGAAAGCATGAAGGTGACGTACCTGCATCACAGTACTTTACTCTTCATGAAAGCGTGATGGTGACGTACCAGCATCACGGTACTTTACTCTACATGAAAGCATGAAGGTGATGTACCTGCATGACGGTACTTTACTCTTCATGAAAGCGTGATGGTGATGTACCTGCATCACGGTACTTTACTCTACATGAAAGCATGAAGGTGACGTACCGGCATCATGATACTTTACTCTACATGAAAGCGACATGGATACATACCTGCACGACAGTTCTTCAATCAACATGAAAGTTTAACAGTGAAGTACCTGCATCACGGTCCACCAAAACAACTCAACAGAGACACAACTGCATGATTGCACTTCATTCTACATGAAAGCGTGACAGTACCTCACTCTTAATATAAGAGTGATGCCAGGAAAGCCTGATGGGAACGTACCTGCATGACGGTGACGGCGCCGTACGTGACTGCTGTCCAGTAGACTGAACCAATAAAAATGCCACCAGCCACAAATGGACACATCTTGTAGATGATCTTGTCAGCTATATCCATTATGTACACAATCGGACCTGGGAATACAAGCATATTGTCAGCTTTATCATTACAATTGGCACAATTTACACACACCTGGAAACAACTGGTGACAACTGCATCCTACTCATCTCTAACCTTGTCCCATTATGCAAACTGTACTGTTCATTGCAAATTTTCTTTCATGTGTACATCACCTCTTTCAAACAGACACTTTACAATCTGAGGCCAGATTAATATATTATTTTTGTTTAATGTATGAGCTTACCCTAAATTTTTCAAAAGAGAAAAAACAAATTTAGAATGCTTTGGTTGAAAATATTAACTTTTTCACTCAACTTTTTTGCACTTTTGTAAGCAAATTTGTTTACACGGTGTGTTTTTTAAGAAAATTAACCTCAAATCAATGCTGAACCCATTTATCAAAACTTGCTTCTGACCAAGAAAAGCCATAAAGCAAGAAAATATATTTGTGAGTCCTTATCTTAATTTGTCATGAGACAAACATAATACAACTTTGACAAGTCACTATTCGCCTGTCATGCTTTACTGTTCAACTCACACATCATCTGATAAGTATTTGCCTTACCTAATTTAGGAAATATGATCATGTACTCTGTATTGCATTGTGGGCAGGCTACTTTGGCTGTACTATTTCCCTTTTGTTTCTCGTCTATCCACCGCTGCAGGCAATTCTGATGGACCCATTTTGTCGTTCCTTTACACCGACATGGGCGCACCCATGCAGCATCCCGGTCATCATCATCAGTGGCAAAACAAACCCAACAAGAACGCCTGAAAGGAATGAAACAGACATGAAGGAAGACACAGTCAAGGTCCCTCGACTCCCGACGTCCAGAAGACTTAACCAATATAAATGCCACGATTCACAAATGGACATATCTTGAAGATGATCTCGTGAGCTTTGTCCATTATGTATACAATTGGACCTGGGCTATTACATACCATAAGAAGCCACATGTTTTCTTTCATTTCACATGCAACTACACTTCGTGCCAAAAACTTTTGTGTCTACTAGCTTGGACTTGCCTCTCAGCATCATTTTTATTAGATACTGTAGTGTTACAATCCAGACAATTGTTAGCTGAGCTCATTAGACTAAATAGTATATTACAAGAATCTGGCTTCACGCTGGTGGCAAAAGTCGGAGACTGCAACAACCATTATACCATCACATTTTTGTTTAAAGATATGACATTAAATACCAGGGTACAAACATATCATGTAAGACCCACAGATCCTTTTACATGTCACTTTTCAATTGATATTACCTCATTAATAACTATTACAGTCGGCTATACGATTTGGGTCAAACTAGAATTTACTGGGTAACAGAAATATGGAATTATTACAATGAGGCGACTACTAACGGAAATTGATATGCAATCACACAATAGTATGTTAATTACCGGGTGTCGACTTCATCTTCTTTTAATCTGCTTTGTGCCATTTCCTTCACAACTCGGTGCTCTAAGAGTCTAATATGAAAACACTGTCACGGACAGTTTAAGCGCTTCTCCTCAAACACGACTGTCTTTCATTGTCTTCAGTCGTGCACAATAATGTATAGAAACAAAATATAGCGAGCAATATGCTAGTTAACAAAATATCTTATCTAACTTTCACATAATGCGTGAGAAAATTATCAGATGATTTCTCGGTCACGGCTAAAACCGGAAACGTTTGTTGCACCGGAAGTGAAAGAACTGGGGGACCAGTCATTTCATCAAAACGTATACAGAAATCGTTGGGTTTTTTTTAGATTTGTCGTGGTAGTGGACAACAAAAATGTAAAAATAGTTTAAGTTTGTTGCTTGTCAACATAGAGATGATAAATATGTATTTTTCCTTAGAGAATATATCTTAAACTACTCTGTAAATCTTATATCTTCATTTTCATATGAGAAAATAAACATCAAACTGAAAATGTCATTTTCCCCCATGATAATCGTTTATTCAGCAAAATATTTTGTGTTCAGAAATTGTGTTCTTGAAGAGTAAATGTCTTATAGTAACAGGTCAAAAGTAGACAAAGGCCTATATTCCCAACGAGGTGTCGGTCCCACCGACAAAGAATTGTCACATCAATTCGTATTATATTATATCAACTGTTTCCCAAACTTCTAGTTTATGTTTATTGCATTTAGCGACGTTTCGGTGTAGATTCTTACACCGTTATCGCCCATTGATATTACTGTTTACATTGATATTACTGTTTACATTGATATTACTGTTTACATTGATATTACTGTTTACATTGATATTACGGAAATACTGTGCTGTTAAAAACAGCGTTAAACTCACGTTCACTCATTCTCTCACTGCTCTTGGGCATAGTGTAGAGGCATATAAATGTTTTTGTTTTAATCAGAATTTTCCCATTCCTGTCTGAACATATCTGATCCTAGAAACATTTGTCGTTTACCCCTCATTAGGATGTCTGAGGGCACACAAAGTTGATGCTGACGTACCTCACCCCGTGTTCCGTCACAAAGAAGACCCAATCAATAGATGCTTTATGCTTATATAAGTCTCCACGTATAGTATAGGATATAGCCTCTCCTTCTCGGCCCAATTTAACATTGCAAATGTACATCCGTGTACCCGTTCTTCATTATCAAATACAACCTCATTATCCACATGTTATGTCAATATGTTTCTCTCAGAATCAAACAATACAAACAGTCATTTAATCAATCTACCCGGGATCTATAATACAAAATGCTAACCCTTACATACTAGTCAATGGTTGCCGCAATATATCTGTAATGAAATTATTAACGTGTTTTGTGACTTTGTTGTTTAGGACTATTTTACCAGTTGACTACAATCTGATCACATGAGTTTGAAAACTTTGTAAAACTTTTAATTCATCCTCAGATCTTTTTACGTCTGTTATGTTTGTTTACGACATTAATTACTGCTTGTCCGCCATGACAGAACGGGGCGATGCATGCAGTTTGAAGTGCCGATCCCACTTGTATCCTCATTAATGAATGAATGAATTGTTTATTAAAGTGTCACGCATAAAATAATTGGATACATTAATCAAGTGAAGGTGAATTATGCATGTAATTCCGTGTTATTTCCTACATGACAGTTTACCATGTTTTTTGTCTTGAGAGCTATATCTATAGCTTGTGTCCGGGTTCGTCAACCTTCCATACTGACGTTGCACAGGTTAGGGACCGATCATTTATAATGGAGAAGGACAACTCTATTTCTCAATTCATCCAGTGAATAAATATTTTTTGAAGGAAAAATTATTTTTCCAGTACTTATGGCTCGTATGATGTTTATATTTTTATTATCATAGGAATCAGAATCGTAGGAGAATCGGGAGAGTCTTTGTGAAAAACGACAGTATCTGAGGGAGAGTCGTAAAAAATGGACTGATTTTAGCGGTCAAAATACTATTACTTGAGGAATCATCATAATAATGAAGTGTTTCGTCAGTCATGGCCGGGGTCATGAAGAGCAAGGACTTTTCCTCCGCAAAAAATGAGGAAGGCTGTCGGTTTGTACACACATCCTGAAATTAGTTTTTATAAAACATTTGGCTCCATTTCTGTTAATTCAATTTCTGATTCTTTAATATGTCGGACGCCATGCAGCTCCGACACAATGTATCTTTGTCAAAACGTCTAAACTGTTTCATTACACAATCTTGTTCAATAATGTCCTTCCTTGGCAACTTATGGCGTCGGTGTATTTGCTGCGTTGTCAGTTCTTGCATGCGTGTTTCCCCGAGTGGCATGGTCTAGTTTGGGCAAAAAATGTTGTTGACGTCATGTGTTTGTTTGCGGACGTTATTGTCGGTGTTATTGTATCGTTGGCATCAAGGTATTTTTATTACCAGCACCTAAAGATGTTGTATCCGTGGCGTAGCGGATAGAGCATCTGCCCGGAGAGCGGAAAGTTAATGGTTGGGTCCACGTGCCGCGTCATACCAAAAACACACTAAAAGATGAAACTTGCCCTTACCTTGCCTGGCGCTCGACAATAAGGGAATAAAACAAGGACTGGCCGGTTCGGAGTCAGTCAACTGTGTCTGAGTTAGGTATCCACGCTAAACTGCTGCGTGTGTCTCAATGGGCTAGCGCTACAAAACCAGAAAACGTCCGGACAAGTACAAGCAGACGCAGGCACGCACGCAGGCACGCAGGCACGCACGCACACACACACACACGCACAGACATGTAAGCACGTCGCTATATATACGTCAGTCAGATAATCGTAAACGCGACGGTAAACGCCAGTTACCCCACTTCATAAGAATGTTACCAAAATTTTCATGAAATGATATCCTATACAAATTGTGAAATATAGAACAAGTAAATCATCACCTGCCATAAGAGACCGGTCGTTGGGGGAAAAAACATCCAAAGAAAAGTTCATGTTCACCCTCTATTGTCCATGAATTTCACTATTCTTTCGTCGTTAAGAAGGATTGTCATATGTTCCATCCAACCTACTCGTCATGACGGATTTGAAACCTCTGCCAAAGTGTATTACAATTATATTAAATATTATTATGGATGTACTGTCATATTACGAATAAAAGTCATCTTCATTTACACATCTGTATGTACGTATTTATTATTGTAAGTTCTTATACTGCAGTGGGTGGGGTTATCGAAACATTGTTCATGTCAGTGTATTGTCGGCGTTGTTTACGATAAAATTATTGTCTAGGTACGGATATATGTTGGCGTCATTGTTTTGTCGACGTCATGGTCTTGTTGGCGTTATGATATTGCCGACGTTTGGTAGCACAGTATTGTCGACGTCAGGGTAGTGTTGGCGTCAGAGTTTTGCGTACGGCATAGTACTGTCGACTTCATGGTATTGTTGGCGTCATAATATTGTCGACGTCATGGTTGTTTTGGCGTTATAATATAGTGGATGTCAGGGTATTGTTTGCGTCATAGTATTGTCGACGTCAGGATAGCGTTGGCGTCTGGGCATCAATGGTTGATCATAACAATGCCAAGGTGCGTGGCCATTTAACAACAGAGTTTGGACCCCTGAAAATCCGGGTTAGAATTGGTTTTCAGCAACCCATACCTGCCGTAAAAGACGACTACATGCTTGTTGTAAGAGACGACTAACGGGATCGGGTGGTCAGGCTCACTGACTTGGTTGATGCATGTCATCGTATCACAGTTGCATGGATCGATGCTCTTAATGTCAATCACAGAATTGTCTGACCCAGACTCGATTATTTACAGACCGCCGTCACATAGCTGGAACATTGCTGAGTGCGGCCTTAAACAACAAACAAACAAAAAACAACTGTGATTATTGTGATTGTGCGGCGTCATACTGGCACACTGAAATTGCAAGTCGAACAGACCACACGTCCTGATAGATCAACCCTGCGAGCAAAAACAAGACTTCCAGTGTCTAATGTGACTGATCTACTGTGAGTGAGTAATTGGGCTTTTACATCGCGACCATATCCCGGTCAGGAGACACCACACGAGCTTCACATTGTGTACCGATGTGGGGTACCAAACATGGATGTTCGGTGTGACGAACAAACACTCATCTCGGCTTATATGTATCTATGTATCCTATTTCAAAAATCCAATCAGGTAATATGATCAGTATAATATCTGAACTAAGAAACAAGAAATTCTGGAAGAATGAGATCAGTTTACGTCATGACAGTCAAGCAGAAAATGGCAGTCCAGACACGACACCGAGGCTCGTTTGAACCCCGAATACGTTCAGTGAGTGAGTGACTTTTACAGCAATATCTCGACGGGGGACACCAGAAAAGGGCTTCACACAAAAATTATTTTTCTTCCGCCCTTCTCTGACTGAACTAGAATTTGTTTATTCACTGATTCCTCTACTTCCGTTTTTATGCTTCTGATTATTTTATTTTTTAGAGAATGTAATCTGGATATAGATTTCCCCTTGTTAAATGTCATTACAGACACGCGTCCCCTGAATTTAATCAGAAATAGAACCCTCATTGAGGCCCCAATTAAGAGTTTTGACTGTAGGGGGGTATTGACCGATACACAAACAATGAGTGGATTGTCCGTGACGTCACTGAGGAGCAGGTGGGGGCACGTGTGTCGGTCGCCCCGGCGTGGTCAACTCTGCCGGCACACAAGGCGGTCAATCACACTTGCCATGGACACTGGTGAATTAGAGGAGATCAATACGATGATTACCGCGCATTGTTCCTTCAAGGAACAAAGAGAAGCAGATTGTAGCGTTCAGTTACTCCCCTGATTGCTGCTGCAGTCGGGTATTGCTGACAGTATCGGGTATGTGGGTACCGCAGACAAGGGATATACGTATTACTGAGAGAACTGGATGCTATTGTTTTAGGCAGTAAAATTATCTAGAGAGAGGATTTTGATATTTTTGACCCTCCCTTTTAAAAATGCTGGGCCCGTCCTTGCAAATTTAAACCCGAGTTAACCAGTGTTAAACAAGCATAATCAAGGGCAGTATCCCAAATAAAACGCATTATATGTAACCTTAGATATAATACAATATGGCGGTCATGAGAGAGCGACACACAACTAATTGCTGTAACACACATTTTCGAGAGGAAAACAGGTATTACATTTCCTGACAATGCTGCTTTTTGTGCCATTTAATGTATGAAAAACTACAAGAAAGTTGAAAATATCGCAAAGAACATGTAACAGGGATCATAGTCATCA